AATGAATCAAACATTCCCCACGTTTAAATTTTCGAAGACTTTTGAAGGTGCAGTAAGTTTGTAAGTGACTATGGAAGTACGCAGACATACAATGTAAAAGCCGGTCTTTTATTTGTGCCAGTTTTTTTCTTCAAAATCAGTGAAGAAGAAGCTGTAGAGAGAAACTAAAACTTCAGCAAAAAGTGAACAATTTTCCAAAGTATCTCAGAAAACTATAAAAATAAACATGCGACTTCATCATACTTCTCACTCGAAACTAAGCAATAGCCTTCAACTTTTGAATTTCGAAGAAAAAAATAGTGGATTTGAAGCTCTTTGGATTTATAGAACAATTCATGATGGACTCTTTTTTGTTAAAACTAACTCAATTTGAGAAAACTGGATCAATACGTATAACTTTTCTTTTGCTGGGAAATCTGATAAATCATTTATATTTTCACACTTTTGCTTTTTGAAAGCGGACTTTTCCATCCTTTTAATAATGGAAATGCACTGAACTTAAAAAGAAATCCAAGTCGTCAAACCGCGAAAAATCAAAACTGAGCATGAACAAATTTCAGGAATTTTTCCTGACAAAAAAATTTGCAAGACCTATGTAAGAGTACTCACTACGTTCATTACTCTTAATAACTTTTACGCTCCAACCAAAAAGTTCCGACTGACGGATTTGGCCCAGTAAGCGCTCAGAAAAATTCGATAGCTTGTTTTGCTATATAAAAATTAAGTCTTTTTATGTCTTCGAAAGAAATTTTTCATTTTATAACCTACACTCTCACCTTATTCAATCGAAATTAGGCTGAAGCAAAAATTTCAAACCGTTTTACTTGACACAGAAAACTTGTTGAAACTTTTTAAAATTACGACTGAAAGCGCTTTTGTGTGATATCTAACATTGCCCATTCTAAAGATTTCTTTTAAAACCCGATTTAAGCAAAAATTGGATTTTAAAAGTGGTTGGAACAATACATTACCATTCTCAATGTATCAAAAAATCGAAGAAAGATTGTAAGGCAACAATTGCTGTATAGAAGTAAAGCAACAATTGCTGTATAATTCCAATCGAAATTTCAGCTAGGTTCGACACATAGGTACAACAGCTAAGTATGTAAACGGCACAGACTGATGCAAGAAATATCCACTGTTTTCTTATTTTTTTATTCAAATGGGACAAAAGATTTTAGAAAAATAAAACCATCTGATACTTCAATAGCCAAAGCAAGTTACGACCGAGCAATATGTTACGACAGAGAAAATAGGTTTCTACGAAAAATAAATGGAAACCCAGACTGCACGTATATCAGGGCAAAGCCCTGAATGCTCTAACTGCCCCTTTATTCATATCAAATAGTTTTCGGGACAGAAAACATTGAACACGGGGGCGAAGTTGAGCTTCGCATCACTTGGAATAAAAAACTGAATATAATTACTAGCAAATGAAAAAAAAAATCGTGTCTTTTTACATAGAAAAATTTCAAAGAACAAAAATTCTTGAAACAAAATTACCTGCGCCATTAGCAACTTTACACAGAGCTTTTAAAATGCTAAAAAGAAAAAGAAACTTTCTGCGGGACATAAGCTGACAAAAATTTGCAGATACGAAGAACAGGTCCTAACTAGAATCGAACTTCTGGGATTTGGAGTCACAAACGTGGGTGCATTTATCAAGAAAACACTACCAAAACTATTAATGAACAACATGAAAAAAAATCAAACTAAAGCAAAAAATAAGCAAAATTTGGATCTCAATTACTTGCCCGAATCCGAAATAAACTGAAAATATGAAAAATTTGGTGCTGCGGCAACTAAGCCGACAAAAAGCAGACAAACAGCAGCCTGACAATTTTTTGACACGCGACAATTTAACGCTTACAAACATATAGGTCCTGGCCGGACGGATTCGAACCTTTGACTTTGTCTTGATTTCTCTGACTTCATTTCATATGAACCAAAGATAAAATGATTCAACGGGTTCTGTTAAACTAGTTTTTAACCCGAAAAAAGTCTATATTCCTGTTCGATTACGCTTGCTGATCGGAAACGTTAAAACTATGATTTCTGGGCAAAATCAAAGCTCAGATGTTTAAAATTTAGTCGTGCGAAATTGATACGACCAATTATCAAGCCTCAATTCTTTTTGGAATGACTTAGTTGTGCGGGATAATTCGACACGCATAAATAATTCACGTTATGCTTTCAGCATCATGAATAAAAAACTTCAAAGCACGCATAATTTAGTCCTCAGCATGACCAACTTGGCCATTTTCAAACTGCCAGAACTTCGGCAAAAAAAATGATCGGAGGTAAAAAATCTTTTTACATTTGATTTCAAGTAGTCGATTTCTTCAATCGAGTATGAAAAACTTTTGTTAAAAACTATTATTTTACTCGTTTTAATCGCCGCAAATTGACTGATCAGAAAAACGCCCAAAGCGTAAATAATCCGTTTTCTTCGAAATTCGAACAAAAAAAATAAGCCCAAATAAAACACTAAAGCGCGTGTCATTCTAAAAATTATGAAGCCGATATAAAGTCAATTTCAATTCGAAAAAAATCAATCAGCATGAAAGACCAACAAATTTTTTTTTGAAAAAACAAGAAAATATACTAAGCATGCACACCATTAAAACATTTTTAAAAACTAAAGAATCCGAAAACAATTCAAATTTTACTGAATATTTAAAACTCATAAATACAATTACTTGTAAAAAAAAGTATACGATAAATACAGTCGGTCGTTCAAATAGTAACAATGATGTATGAACTAGTGTACCATAACAACGCACATATACTGTACCGTATAGCATCCTGGACATATATGTTACAATTATATAGCAACTGGAGGGCACCAATAAAAAATTGTCTTTCCAACTTTTCTTCTGTTATCATCAAGATAAGAAGTTACTCAACACAGAGGCGAAGTTGCACTTCGCAAATACTTGCGAGAACACGACCAAAAAGCAGCTCTATCAAGTGAAATACGAAAAAGTAGATAAAAGCCTCCAATTAGCAAAAACTCGGCTACGTGTCGGATTCGAATCTGCGACCTAGCAAATTTAAGTCTCACGCACTAACCACTCAGCCAAGGATGCTTCAAATGCCGAAAAACTAGCCACCAAAAACGCAGCTACATATGCTAATAAATTGCCAATTCGATGCAGCAAAAGTAGCACCAAATACAAAAAGACACAATTTTGCATGTAATAAATTGGAAAGCATAAAGCCAAACTATGTATAAACTATGAGGCGAGAACACGACTAAAAAGCAGCTCTATCAAGTCAAATAAGAAAAAGCAGAAATAAGCCTCGAATTAACAAAAACTCGGCTTCATGTAGGATTCTGCAATAAAACACTGCAATAAAAAGATTTTTGAGTCTCACTTACTATCCACTCAGCCGCGCAAGTTTACAACCGACACACACTAGTCACGAATAAAGCAGTTACATATGCTGACAAATTGCCAATGCTATTCAGCACCAAATACAAATAAACTCAATGTTGCAATTAATAATTCGGAATATAACAAACTGAAGGCATCCACACTAACTTTGCATGTAACAAATCGCAAAGCATAAAGCCACATTCTGTATAAATTATGCATTTAAAAAAATTGCCAGATATATTGCGTTAAAAAAATTCTGAAATCGAGTAATTATTGTGATGTTGTTTGAAACAAATAGCTTTTTCGGTTCATTTGATGAATTTAAAATGCATCAACTTTGTTAATTTTTTACTATTCGAATGTCAAAGCACATGATATCAAAAAGCTGTAAGGGTGCCCCACCATTATTGGGATGCCGCACCATAAAAGCGCCGCACCAATATTTGCGACTTAGGTTGGAAAAAAAGAAGGTTCGTACTAATACACTAGCTTCGCAAGTGTAATTACGCATTTCACAAAAAATTCGAGATACTTGGAGTTGGAAAATTACTGAAAGCGAGCTTTTTATCATTATACTGCTGTTTGAAACAAATAACTTTTTTCGGTTCTTTTGTTGAATTAAAAATGCATCAGCTGTGTTAACTTTTTACTAATCAAATGTCAGAGCACATGCTATCGAAAAGCTGTAATGGTGCCTCAAAAGTGGCGCCAATATTAGCGATTTAGGTTGGAAAAAAAAAAGAAAGTTCGTACTAATACACTTTGCTTCGCAAGTGTAAATAAACTTTGCTTCGCAAGTGTAATTAGAGAATAAATAGCGTCTTCTAAGTGGTGATGTACATATATTCATTGCAGGAGGTCAATATTCTGTTGTAGATTTGCTCTGTAGTGATACAGTGGACTAATTCAAAAAACTTCAAAATACTTTCAGTAAACAAATCTAGATCACGTTAATAATATACTTGTTGGAGGAATTGTCTTGATCACAAAGTATAACCACTACTTCGAACTAGAAGATATCGCATAAAATTGCTTTGACTGGACTCAAATCCCTTTATAGCCTAATGGTCTAGCCATCAATCGCCTCAAAAAATTGCATCGTTGCAATTTGATGCATTGTTAATATGATGCGCATAGAAATTGGAACCCTCAAAACAAAATAATGTACAAAAAAACCTAGTCAATAGTTCAATCCTCAAATCACGTGCAAACAAACTCACCCTAGGCCATCAACCCACCAAACCCCACCCACCACACTCTGTGAGAACGATCCGAACAAAATACGCGAACACCCAATTTAGGTAAGTGATGCACCACTTTCATTCACATCTTTTGACAAATGACTCGGCGAAAATTCGTAACAGGCGACAATTCGCAACAAGGCCTTGGCAATCGCTTGCTCCGTGGCGCTTACATTGAGCACAAGAGGTATAGTGCTTATGAATCATTGCTTGCCGCTTAACCTATTGTTACGAATTGTCTCCGTTTACCAATTGTCGCGTTACAAAATCTCGCCACACGTTAATGAACAGTTGTAAAAAGTGAAGCTTTAGATTTTATGAACTAAATTTCAGTTTTGAATTGCTACAGCTAATATTTAAATACTTATTTAGAATTGAGTTTAATTTCTAATTAAGGATTCTATTCTACCTGGATGACGATTTTTCAATATACAACCTTTGGATGATTCTGTCAAGTATTTGATAAAACAATTGCTTGTTTAATTTCGAGTACTGAAGCAGTCGGAACAAAATTTCTGTCGTCTCTTTGTGTTTCTGTTCACCTACTATGAGCTTCACAACAATCGGGTTCAATGCTTTTCTTATTAGTCCCAGTGTTCGATTTTTCCTTCTGAATTTATCCTGTGACGATCTTGGAGTTTTCGGTACAGTGAGTGACGATTTCGGCTTTAAATTCTCCGTCAGAAAAATTAGAAACTGACTCAAATATTCTTCGTGCAATCCCATTCTGATTTTGCTTTTCACAAACTTAGCGCAACAACTATTAACAAAATCGGCAAGCAATGATTTGATTGGGCCGATTAAAATTTTCTGGAAGACAAGAGATAAAGAGTAGATATAAATAGAGAAATAAAGGAGGTAGTCGTAATAGGAGTTCAGGTCCACATCAGACAATTTATTACTTGTCTTATGGTGAGAAGCTGTACTAACTGACCGTTGAATGCTAACTAATGACACATCGCGAGAATCCCGTTTACTAAGACCTTCTGAATCCGAGTTCACAGAAACTACATTACTAGGGTTCTCTTGCAACATCTCATTCTGGATACATGTAACTTCACTAGTTGCTGAAGTCATGCCTCTTACGTGTATTATATCTAAGAGTGCATTATTGTGTAAGGTTGAGTTTACTTTCGCGCCCGATTTTGCATTCTGTGCGTTTGAAGCGACTGCGGTTCCTTTGCGGCTGGCCGAATCGACAATTAAGTTTTTGTTTCTCGGATTTCCGTTCATGCAACCCATGAATCTGGGCAAGTAGCTCACTTCCAATGCTTTTCCAGCTTCATTTTTTACAATAGAAGTCATTATATTGTCCGCTATTCCGTTGCGTTTGAGAGCCAATTTTGACAAGAAATTAGGTGACTCAAAGTCATCAGATGTTTCTTTAGTCAGAAAATCAAATAACATTGCCGAGTGACGAAATTTAGGGATTCCTAATAGTGCTTTCAAATACTGTTCCAGAGAAGGCACAATTTTACGCAGCTGCTCATGTGCAGCTTTTGTAGTGATGACCAAATTTGGCCTTGAAGGCAGTTTAAGATCTTTCAGATCCTTGGCGTAGTGGAACTTTAGCTTGTCTTGTAGCACTGAGAAGTTCTCATACCTTCTATACACACTTCTGTGAAACTCCTCGTTGTTCATGCCGAGCGCAACCCGTCTCACATGTATAACATAGTACAAATTGGAGTCTGATGAGCTGTGGCCCTTTAGCTCTACAACTTCAGGTTCAAGTTCAATTCTGAAGTTGCTCAAATCGATGTCAACTTTAGTAAGGCTGGCAGGGACAAACTCATCGGATAAGTTTTCGGACGATCCCTCTTCATCTGTTAATTTTACTTCGAGTGAGTCTAAATCAACTGAGTTTCGTTTGAATTCCGAGCTACTTACACGTTCCTCGAAACCACCTTCATGTTTAAGCAGCGCAGCGGTTTTTTCATCTAAAAAGTAACGGCATGTGAAATCGTATGTCTGTTTGAAGCGTTCCATGTAACAATCATTAAGGATAGAGTGCACTTCGCTTTCTATTTGCAAGATAATTTTTTCTTTTCGACTCCAGGGAATAATTTCGAACGATCGTAAGAGAAGCTCAAATTCTGAAATTAAATCTCGAGACAGCAATACTTTCTCGTTGCTAATGCAATCGAAATACTTGAAAGCGAAGTTTTCAAAACTACCCTTAGAAGCAAAATGGCGCGACTGTCTTATTTCTCTTAAATCTCCCAAACACTGTATATAGTGCACGGCGTCTTCTTTATGGAGAAACTTCATGAAAAGTGAAAAGAGGAGTCCGTCTTTCATGATAACTTGTGCGTTAACACCTTGTGCCATTTCTGGATCCCCATATAACTGGCGATCTAAAGGAGGCAATGACTTGGACTCTGCTGAATTACAGTACCTGAATAGAAAAGGCACCACTTTATCTGATGTCGAGGTCAGGACAACTTTGCTTCCAGAGAGAATTTTTCCGATCATCAGATTCATACCATCTGGATCCGAAACGACGTCTGAGAGCTGAACAAAATATAGAACGAACGCCTCTGTAGCCAGAGCTAGAGTTAATTCTGAACACCTAATGTCTTCTGGGAAGTCGAAATGAGATATGGTTGTGAAAGCTTTTTCCAGATACGAGACTTCAGCAGCTCGACTGCACATTGCTGGGTGAAGTTTATTGGATCTGTAAAGATTGGAAAGAATGCTGGATTGGTTCATGGTCGATAACACGGAGGAAGCACTGTCCAGACATTGCTGGTCGTCCGAGCTATAACGATCGGTAAAACTCACTCGAGGATATGTATTGTGAAAATGTTTAAGAGTACATGCGATTATATCTTGAGCAATAACGTCGATCACTTTTTCGTTTTCCCGTATTCTGTTTACTATGCGTAATAGGAGCATTCGCAACATATGTTTCAACTCCAGTTCAAATTCAACACATTCGCCGTTAATTGCGCGCGCATTTAGCAGCACCTGTCCGCATATGGTATCCAAGAGTGCCGTTAGAGCATTGTCAACTTGAGCTGGAACATAAAAAGAACAGTCCACACCTTGGTAAGTGTTATCTAGATGAACACGCTCAAGTTTCCCTCTATTGACTCCTTCTTTTAGATTCGGACAGGAACCTAAGCAAAACCATCATAGAAAACAGAAGTTTTAAGGGTTCAAAAAAAAACACCTTAAAACTTGGACACTCAATCGTCTAAAATTTGATAGTATTTTACGTGCCGTTAATTCGGCAAAATAAAATTTTATGAAAACGAGTAAAATTTATCTATCAAAGATTTTATCTATCAAAAATTGTTGTTTTTTAAAATAAATTAAATCAAAAAGTAATGGAAAAAATTTCGCTTTGAAAATAAGTATCGGCCAAAAGCTATAAAAATAGTCATACAATTTTTGCCCAAGATTTGCATTGAAACATTTAAAACAAAGCGGACAATAAGCCTAAAACGATGGTTTGATAAACAAAGATGCACTTCACAAACAAAAACGAGAAAACAGTCATATCTCTAAAAAACGAAGCATATATATAACTTTTTGAAATTACTGCACAAAAAGAATCAAAACTTCAATAACATTAGGAGAACGCGCCAATTACTGCTTCCGCCAGAGTCGGTTTTGCCACTAGAGACCCTGGGGAAACTGCAGTGATAGATTTGATAAGCAGTTCATTAGCAAATGAGCTTTTCGAAGCGCATTCTGAGAATTGAACCCAAAATCTTAGGTATGGCAGGGTAGTTTTCGAGAATACTCAAAAAGTTTTAAAAAAACGGTCAAAAAATCAATAGCTTGACTTTTCAGAGGGCGATAACTTCTTGTGTAAAACTTTTCGTTAGTTTCCACTAACGCAGAGGAGTTTCCCACTAACTGTTATCTCATTGAACTCACAATATCAGATTTGAGAGGTTAGTTTTCGATAAAAGTCGAAATGATCCACAAAACGGTCAAAAATAAGAAAATTGACTATTCCGAGGGCCATAACTTTATGTGCAAAAAAAAAATTAGTCGCAGCTAATTGTGCAATGGAGCTTTTCAAAACAGTTATCCATTGAAACCAAAAACTCAAACAAGAGAGGTAGTTTTCGAGAAAACAAAAATCAAAAATATGGGTCAAATGTTCTCCCATACTTTTTCGAAGGCTGTAGACAGGGGAATCAAGTTCTGAAATTTTTGAATGAAATTTCAACAAACAGATTGGTAATCATACAACCAACTTGAAAAGTGCAGAGGGGAGTGCTAAAATTGTTTTTTTTGTCCGACTCATGAATTTTTTTTTCCAGCTATGCTCAGCTTTTTTATGCTGTTTTTTTAGCACACAGGGTTCGTTCAAAACATTTCAAAGAAAGTAATGTTTTTGTTCTGACCAACTGAAAAACCAAAGCTATTCCAAATTGTGTTATCTTGAAACGTCCCAAAAATAGTTCATTAAGCCGATGAAAAAATAGGCCAAAATAATTTTAGCCGAGTGTGTTTAAGCGTAAAAAAAAAAGTCAAGGCCAGTAAAATTAGGTTTGTAATGAAATGTAGGCGTAAACCATACACTAAAAACAACATTAAAAAATGCGCATAGAAAAAAAAACAATTCCATGATGCGACAACTAAGCGGACAACAGATAAGCAGACATATTAGTTGCCTCCAGGCTAAGTTGGCCAGGAACGCGCTAAGAAATCATACACTAAAAACAACATTAAAAAATGCGCATAGAAAAAAAACAATTCCATGATGCGACAACTAAGCGGACAACAGATAAGCAGACATATTAGTTACCTCCAGGCTAAGTTGGCCAGGAACGCGCTAAGAAATTTGAATACATAATGAAATAAGGTAGAGATGAGTCTAGACGAGTCCTGTGGACAAAGTTGTTAACAAGTCTAGTATGCTGTTGCAATACCCTTGCTTATCGCAAGGGTATTAACGAACTTTACTCGATCGCTCTATCTACCAATATAGAACCTGATCACGAAAAAAAGGCTTACATTTGGTTCTCTGGATCTCAGGTAAGCAGCTTGATGTGGTTAGATACAGCATACCTCCCATCACATTAGCAGCAAACCATGACAGTGGTAACGCTACTAAGAACCAGACATTTGATGTAAGCAAAGCAATGATTAAAGGCAGAAGAATCAGAAGATTTGCTTTCAATTCCAACCACATAGTCTCAAAAAATATCGAAACATCCACTTTTCATGATGAAAAAAATTGCTTCTCTACAAGAAAGATTTCTGTTTGATTCTTCTGGCACACATCTCACTTCTGAAACACATGTCCATCACTGGTGCTTCACCGTTCTATCCAGCTTGTAATCTGATACTGAAGAACTTCATTAAATTAAGCTACCCTCGGGTTGTCTTCTGACTGGTTCCTAATTATTCTAAAAAAATTACAAGCGAGGCAAATCTGAACTTGCTATTCCATCAACTTCATCAGTTTCCAAAACGCTTGACAGAATCAGCCGTACGAAAAAAAAACAGAACAATAAAAATGGAACTAGCATGTAACTTGAACTTCAAACAGATCGTTGAACGTGAAAATTGCTTAAATATATACTTATTACTTAGAAAACAAGAAAATTAAATGCAAGCGTAAGAATAAACGGGAGCATCCTAAAACTTTATATCTCACAAAATTTTATAAACGCTTTAAATTTTTATTATTAGCCTAATTGTTGTGATAAACTTACTAAATAGTCTTTGTTCCAATTTAACACTTGTGCGTTTTCATGGAGCGTATTCGTAGGTTCCAAAATACAAAATCAGTCCCATAGGTTCCAAAATAAGTTTCAAATCTTTTCAATTGATCAAAAGACTAAATTAGCCGAGTCTCGGTTTAAGGTCGCAAGTGGGCGCGCTACGCAGGCGCCGCAGCTTCGCGGCGATACCCGTCTCTAAATTTCGCATAGAGTCCTACCCTTTGGTGGCAAGCTCGCAACACGTTCGCGCGGCTACGGCGGTCACTATTCTGCAGCTTGAGTTTGTGCTGGTTGAACAGTAAACAATCTATCCATAAATTCGTTGGCTCAAATTTCAACCAATCAGAAAGCAAGAAGATACATTTTGGAACTTATGCGACTGATTTTTTATTTCGGAACCTATGAATAATGGAACCTATGGGAATTCACCTTTTTCATATTATATGCGCGCTGGGCTTTCCTCTTCTGATCATCTAACCAAATCTCGCCGTCCCAGCCGTAGGCGAGTGAAGCTTTCCTAGTGTATCCGAACGCAAGGGGTGAGCAGGTGGAACTACCCTTTTTCATCTCTCAGATTTAAATTAAACTCCTTGATTCATCATCCATTCCCCCAACTTTCTACGAAAGAGCTTCTCCATTGCCTTCGCTGTCTGTGCTTTAGGTGGATGCCCCGATTCCAGGCAAGGCTCATCCCTGACTTTTCACAGAACCTTATTATTGGAACATCAAGGACAAAATATATCAAACCAGCTCTAGTTAAATCTACAATTCACTCTTATCGCAGCGCCACACTCCAATATCTATATAAAACAGTTTTACAATACAGACCAAAGCGCCTTAATACAGTTACCATTATTGCCAGGTTTAATGATAACTACCGACTCGATGCAGCACTTGCTGCATTAAGTTAATTTTAATATAAGTTTCAAATCATATATATGTGACATTCGACCAGAATGGACCAAAATCCAGATTCAGCAGATTCGAGTTTTTAGCAGCGAACCTTCCGAATTGGCGATTTTGAAGGAATGAGAGCGTTATTTGAACGATTGGACTAATCGTTAAGACTGAAGGATGCGGAAATTCCTAATTTTTAAAAATTCGATTTGATGACGTAACAATTCTAGGAAAAGTAAGAAACGGCCATTTTGACAGAAAAAGGATGATAAGAGCCTTCTTTCCCCGGATTCAAGAATCCGGAGGGGTCTCGGGACTGGAACTTTTATAAACTTATATAAACTTTTAGCTTCCCTGTCATGTCCTGAGTTGAATTTAATTAACATCTGAATTCATTTTGCTGGGATGAGAAGCTAGGAGTTGGGGGAAAGGGTTGATACACCTTCGATGGAGATGATGATTTTTATGTAACATTCGTCTACTGTAGTCACACATGAGGCTTAAGAAAAATAGGCCCTATAACCTTTGGCTCAAGAGTCAGGGACACTATCTCTTGTGTTTTTCTACCTCAAATCAGTCGGAGCCAATTCGGTTCGCTTGTGACATGAGACTACGACCCGTTACAACTTAAGGCTACTACCAAAATATCCCCCCACTCTAGAAATAAGAACGTCCCCATACTTAGGTCTCTAGATACCAAATACATGAACGCCGTTAAAAACCGGGTCGGAACAATCCGTTAAGTTACTTTTTATTAGACATGTGACATTCGACCAGAATGGCCAAAATGCAATTTATGCAGGATTCGAATTTTGAGCAGTAAGCCTTCCGAGTTGATGATTTCGAAGGATTAGCGACGTTATTGGAACGTTTAGCCAAACGGTGAGGGCTAGAATATTCTAGTATTTTAAATTTTCAAAAATTCGAATGATGACGTCACATTTCTGAGAAATGCTGAAACGGCCATTTTAACAAAAAGCGAGTGAAAAACAGAACAACTTTATCTGCGATTGCGAACAGTACGAAAATCGAGATTGGAGAACGACAACGAACTACAGAATAGCAGAGAACGTTCCGAGTTGCAACTATTGTGCTGCTACAATAGTTGCAAGGCCGTTGCCAACAACGGTGAAGGGTGAGAACCAGCCTTCCGGATTAGCAAGAAATCAAGAGTAAGGAGCTTGATTCGGCGGATTCAAGAATCCGGAAGGGTCTCGGGACGGAAACTTTTATTAACTCACATAAACTTTTAGCATCCTGTCATGTCCTGACTTGAATTTAACTGATATTTTGATTAGTTTTGACAAGGATGAGGTGCTAGGAGTTGGGGGAAAGGGTTGATCCATCTTCGATGGAGATGATGATTTTTATCTACTGAACAAAAACAATAGTAATATAATAAGTAGTAGCCCTGTTTTTAGGAGTGACCTCGTGGTCTGCGGATATAGAGACCCAGCCATGAGCTCACTATTTTTGCATGTAATTCAGTTAATTTGAGCGTTCTGGTCGAAGCCGGAGAGCAGTAAGGTTTTTGTCGACCCGATGTAAGAAAGACCACCGGAAAGTACTGGCTTGGTAGAGACGGTGAAAAACATGCAAAGCTCTGTTTAGACGCTAGCCAGTCGTCTTAAGACTTAGTTTTGTTATCCGTCGATATGTATCTTCCGGGCGAATGTTACAACAGTGGAACTTTGATCCATTTCAGATGGATCAACCTAAAACTCGCCTTACCTCAACATAACAATCATAAAACACACTCTAGAAATTTAAATTAAGTACTCACATCGTAGCACGCTCAAGAACTGGGAGTAATTAAGTCGGTCAGCAACTCGAGAATTAAATAATGTAACTATATGAGTTTAATGTTTATCAGTTTCAATAACAAGGACAAGTTTTAACTCTAGAATATAGTTTCTCGTGAACCATTGGGACACTCAAGCTGTCCACCTTTCCACCGAAGGTTCACTCTAGTCCAGTTCGAATAACAATCCAATCGAGTAATGATAGTCCAGTTCTCGGGAATACGCTTGTCTCTGTTTCAGATGGGACAGCTCTACTCTAGTTTTATTTTGACGGAAATTGCGAATAGCAATTTCCCACTGTTTCATCTGGCAACTTTCCCGCGATTGTTACTCGATCGTTCTGATTTTCTCTTTTTCGGTTTTCAAATATCGCGAGAAAATCGTGCATGACAGGCTCCATTCGAATTTTTGAGAAATCAAATTTCACTCCTAAATTAAGCGTTCTTGTTTTTCTCAAGGTCAAACTTCCAAATATGACCGACTGGCACATACTCCCCGGACTCAAGATCGATGTCCTCATCGCGTGCTGTCGTCTGCCAGTGAGTCCCAGAAAACCGAGTGTTGCTCAAGGTACAGTGCCAGTGGTCATTTACAGAAGTTTGCAGCAGACTTAAGCTTATCTACACCCCAAAATTCACGGCCATGTAAAATTTTCACACTATCGCTAAACAGCAATCAAAATCTGCACACACCTGCACCCTTGAATTCTCGCTTTTCAAGCCAATTATTTAAAATTTCTTTTGTCCCATTCAATCAGGAAATTGTCATGCAGTATTTTCACTTATATAGTATATATAGCATATTAATAACAAAATCTGATTCGTTAAAATTTCTTTTTCGTGAACCCAGGTTTCACCCGGATCCACACTCAAGCCTCCCTTCCCTCTCAAGACTCAAGATCTCTTCGAACCATCCGCTCATTTCGCACTCTTCGCCATGGAGTTGCCGTCCCCTGAAGTACTGGATACGGCAAACTGTCTCAACAGTTCTTCTTCATCATCGGAGCTAATCACGATCTCCTCCCAAGCCTTCAGCTGTTCATAGGATCGCATCCATTCCCTTTGCTCCTGCAACCTCTTTGCCTGGTTGGGTAGTGCCTTCACCCTAGATTCCCGGTTCAAACAAAAGGAGTTGTGCAAGCTCAAATTCACGTTCTTCGCCAAGTCCTCCTCCAGCATCGATTCCCTCGCTTTGGTATTGTCTCTAGACATTTTACCCACTCTCTTCCATCCTGTCGTGATCGCATTTCGATGGGTTAACAGGGGTCTCTTGAAAGCTTCCGGCCCAATCTCGGCCTGGAACTGTCGATACTCCTTTTGATGCTTTCTCATGTGATCTTTCGTTGTCATGTATAACCAAGACGTCAGTGTCGCTCGAAACCATGGAAAGTACCTCAAGCGGCTCCATACGTGTTTGACTTCCGTTGGTATGGCGAATAGTTTGCATGCAGTCTCAAACAACTCGAGTCTCCTGCTGTAGTCTATCACATATATTGACTCAGCCGTTGGCGTCTTTGCTTCCCGATACTTCGTTATATTCTCCTCTATCCATCTCAGAGCCAGCATCGTACTCACTACTAAGAGCGTCACCTTCTGCCGGTGATCCGGTAATCCGATCGACCGAATTTCTTCCATATCCCACACCAGGCAGAGGTTCTTGTGATCTGGATACCACACCGTTTGTGCTTCTGGATACCACACCGGATATGTTTTTGAGTCACCTGCAACACTCCAGGCCATGATTCCACGCTCAACGCCGTCACTAAATGGTGTTCAGACTCTAGCCTCTCCAGTGACTGCAGACTACACATTCTCGAGAAGAATCCGAGAGCTGTCGCTATGTTCACCGTAGTTCTCGCGTATCACTCCGCCACTATTTGTACTTCACTTTTCTCCCTTTCCGTGATGTCTTCAAACCAAGTAACCAGATGTTCCCAC